TATTATATTGCCTTTCATGGGTAGTTTGTGGAAAAAAATAGCAGTGTCAGTATCTTGCAATCACAAAGATTTTGAAAAGTATTTTTCTCCTGTGCACACTCCTCTCCAAATTCAAGTGCATGCTCCTAGTTCAACGGAAATTAATGCTTCCCTCTTTTCTGCCTCGGGCTGTGCACCCGTGAAGACGGGGCTGGTTTCAGAGGCCTGTTTTACTGATGTGACCTTTGATCCCTGTCAGGCAACCATGTGCCTGGGTCATGTTTTGGGACAGGCACGTTGATATCTGTCTGCTTCTAGGACCCGGGTCAGAAGAGTTCATGAGAGGGGGGTGGGGGGAGCACTTTTTAACACACAGCACCAGACTCTTCAACTGGCCGAGCAGGAGAGAGGAAGAACGGGAGAGAAACAAAATCAGAGACCAAGAACATCGCTTTGGTAGACTTTTAGTTCTGTTAAAGGCTTTTTAAAGGGCCAGTCAACTGATTTCACTTATCGTGCTATAGTCACCGTTAGTACTGGTGCACACAACAAGAAGATTCAAATCTAGTCAGGGGTCTTTCTGAGAGGAGTTTTCATGATCTCTCTGTGTGTGTGGGGGGTTTTCTCTGGGTACTCCAACTTCCTCCCACAGACCAATGACATATTATGTTCCACAAGACTGCTTGATGTACAATATGCCTCCTCACATACTATACCATTACTGACAATAACTCTACAATTCATTTACTTTGCATTATGTTACAAACTGTTTATTCTAATCAATGTAAATACTCTTATTTTGCTCATGTCCCCACTGGGAGAGGGATCCCTCACATGTTGTTTTCTCTCAAGTTTCTATGTTTTCTAGTTTTTTTTTGGGGGGGGGGGTGTTCCTCCTTACTCTTGAGGTTTTAAGGGCAGAGGAAGTCGCACCTTTTTAAGCCCTATGAGACAAATTGTGATTTGGGCTATACAAATCAAATTTGATTGATTGATTGATGCTGGTTAAGTGGCAACTCTAAATTGACTATAGATGGATGTGTGAATGGCTGCTTGTTTCTGTATGTCGGCCCTGTGATGGACTGCCAACCTGTCCTGGGTGTACGCCACCTCTCGCCCAATGTCAACTGGGATTTGCTCCAGCTTCCCTTTGAGACTCTGAAAGCATAAGCGGAATAGATAATGAATGGATGTATAATGTGTTCTGGCTCTGGAGGAACTGTCGTTCTGTCAAAAGTCTCCAATACAAACTGGAAATGAGAAGAAGGATGTAGACATTTACCTGACAGGGACTTTGATTATTCAAACTCAACTCACATATGGTTTAAAAGTTGAAATATCTCAGCATCTGTTGCCTCCGTTTTGGCTCACAACAATTATTGGGATTAAATCACTGTGGTGGACCTTGATTTGTGAGCAACATCAATACTTATTTTTTTCAGCAAGATTATTTTGTGTCCCATGAAAAAAAACAGACTGACAACCACAATATTTCTGTGATAAATGTTGAGGTGGAACTATATAAATGTATCTGACGCACAGCAGGTTGTGCATTTCACGTCTGCTCAGGCTTATCTGCTCTTGCGCTGCAGCAAAGTCTAATGTGAAGTTAGAGATGCTGCACTGATATAAGACAGGAAAAGGCTGACTAATCAAATCTCCACATCCTCTTGCCTGTGAATAAACAACTGCACCAGTGAAGCAGATGTTTGTTTTCTGCCACCAACTGAACAAGTGTTGTCTCTTCTCGTTAAGACCAGCAAACACTGCCTCTTTCAAAAGGATGTGAAGATGAACAACCCACAGAAACTTGGGCCACTAAAGCTAACCGCAGGGGAAAAACAGTGAGGGTGAAAGCTGAAATAGACCAGTTGTCATAGCCACCTGAACAGCTGTAATTAGACGTGTACATTTCTTTTATGAGAAGAGATTCAGTGTGGACCTTTTCTTTTCTGCAACATATATGTAAGGTAGTTGTTTTTTTGTGTGGGTGGGTGGAAGGCTGATCAATTAAACAGCAATACAATTGCTGTTTTTACTCTTAATGCTTTATGCTGATAAATATTACCATATTATTCAGTGGCACATCTCAGGGGCCATGATTTACACAGAGGTGCCAATTATCATTTGATATAATTTGAATATATAATATTATATAATTTGGAGACTGGTTTATTAGTGGTACATAATGTGTTATAATATGTTGACCAATCACATACACATAAAGTAGAGGAAAATGCTGCATCAAGTCCAAGGTCTGTGATTGAGTCTGAGTGTTTTTCTGCCCTGACTGTTTGTATTTCTGTGACAGGCACAGTCCTCAGTGAAGTCACAATGTACTCGCTCTAATTCTCCTGTTTTTTTCTTCCCCACTGAACGGACTAACTTGCCTGAATGAACAACAAATCCTTACTGCAGCTCACTAGTGATGAAAGGTGATGCCAGCACAGAGTAGTAATATACATTTATAAACAAATTAAAACTCTTTTGTTTTTTTTAAATTACACTTAACTGAACAGGGAGGCAAAGTGGATAAAAATGATGGTCTATGTGCAGGCTTTAAATGGGCCATCATTCAACAATATGATAACTTCCTTTATACTTGTATTTATATGCATTTTCTTTAGTGTTTAAGTTATTCAAAACAAAATAATTGATAATAATACTGCATAATTAGTTAGTTAGCTACACTATGATCACATACACAAAGCTAAAGGAAAAGCTTGTTTAACATATTCCCTGATAATGTTGAACATACAGGGTATTATGAAAATTTACATAATAGACTGAGGTAACAGGTTGCATAAGGTACAAATTCCTGAGCAGTTACCAAGGAGCTGGGGGGGAACAAACCACTTTAAATGAAGAAGACTGAAATAGTCACAGATACATGATAAGGAGGTAATAATTAGATACTGCATTGTGCGATTTTGCAGATGACTCACTGTTAATCACGAGCAAGTCATAAAGAGAGTGATCAGGAACATGTCATTACAAACTGTCTGATCTTGATGATCTTATCATTCCACTATTGTGTTCATGCCACTCACTGCATATCAAGAGGCTTTTGATTAGAAGTTTTAAACAAAGCTGTTGTGGATTGTTTGTTAAAGGAAAGTTTGTTCTGTGATTTGTTGACTCAAACACAAGTTTTTAACTAGATTCATGCACAGCTGGGACGGTGAGACAGGAAGTGGTGGGAACATGCATGAGTACAAGTGAGCTTTTAGGAGGGTTGCGGACACACACGTGCACAAACAAGCACGCACACAACGCTGCACTCCTGAGGACACACATAGGCATAATGCCTTCCTGAGCCCCTAACCCTATAGCAAGACTCAACCCTCAATCAGTCAATTGAAAGTGGCCGGTCCTCACTCTCCCAAAATGTCCCCACTCCGTGAGTTCTAGGGTCAAAATGATATCTGTACAAGTACACACACTCCACACCTTAACCTAATTCTAACCCTAACCCTAAAACCAAGTCTTAACCCTCAAACAGCCCATTAAAAAGTGAAGACCGGTCAAAATGTCTTCACTTTCCAAAAACATCCTCACTCTGTAGCGTCTATGCTTAAAATAACCATCACAAAGGTACAAGTACAGGAACACACACACTTAGATGTGAGATAATTTACAGTAACCAGTGTTGCATGTTTTTCCCAGAAGGCCATTCGAATGTTCACTGCAAATATATCCGACATGTAAATTAAAGCACTGACAGAAATAGTTTTCATAACTATAGCCCATCAAATATTCAATTACATTAAATAAACATGAAATGTGTCACTTCCAATAGTTTTCTTCATCATTTGGGAAACAGGGCTCCTGTCTCTGAGCAAAGAAACAACAAACAGGTAAGAAACATGTGTCAGAACTAACGAACTGAAATGACGATAGGATATTTGGGATTATTAGAAGATGACTGACTTTTCTCAAATGTTCTCGGGACCTCGGGCAGGTTTACAGAGACAACATGTTCTCATGTTCCCCTCAGTATTTATAACTCGGTCAGCTGACCTTGCATTTGGAGCCATCCACTACACGGGGACGTGAGCTCACGTCGTGTAAAAAAACTCAACAAACGCCTAAATGGCGGATAAACACGACAACAAACACACGAACGTGTCTTAATAAGGGGTTTGTTGAGCGGCCGCGTGTTGTGTTCAATGGTATGAGCGGCGAGGAGGTAAACAGAGGCGGACGGCGGAGAGCGACTCCCCCGCGCTGGACAGGATGGTACGGTCCTCTGTTAAATTTCCGAGAATTGGGCTGCTGTGTTTCTTAGAACTGGATTCTCAGAACTGGATATGCACAGAGTTTCGAGGAAACTTTTACAAGGTGACATTTTTTCCTTCCCATTTTCTCAGCATTAGGTCAGAAGTGTAGCGAAGTAGCACGCAGGCTCATGTGGCCGCTCCGGCCGCTCCGGAGACTCTGCTTTCTCCCCACTGCTTTTGAATAATGTGTGAATTCTTGGTTTAGAAGTGAAGCAGCATATTTTGAAAGTGTGACTTAGTTTGCTTTTTGACAGCCGCGCGGCTCCGCTTGTGTCTGCGACGAAAGTGCGGCTCAGGGCTGTGCTGCGTGGATTCGGCTGAACTCTATCAGCGTGTAGTTTGAACAGAGCAGTGAGATGGAAACATTAGAGAGCACAGAGTTGTGCAGCTTCAGCCGGACTGTCTTTGACTTCATGTATTAATGTTGTGGTTTTACTTGGGGGGGTGGGGAAGCCAAAGTGGCGCAACAGGACCGGTCCGTCTGGTTCCCAGTCGCTTCTGATTTCCTCCCGTCGACAACAATCTTTACACTTCACTAAACCTCTCCTAACAACTCGCCGACCACTTTTAAACATGAGCGTGAACCGAACGCGGACATTTCTTTTGAACACACGCTCAACCGCAGCGAAGAGACGGGAGAAGTCGCGCGCACTTTCGTCGTATTCTCGAAACTTCAAGCGGACTTGTGCTGGCCTGCTCGCTGGCTCTCGGCCGAAGTTACGCAGCAAACAACTAATCGCTCCGCTAAATCACATCCCGCTTAATTAAACCATCGCCTTAATGTTTGAAGGGTTCAGAAATGAGTCTGCAGGGCGAGCTGAGCCGCAGTGGGGGAGTGAATGTTTAATGGGTTAAACGGGGGATGAGGGGAACAGGAAACCTCGCTGTGCACTGGCAACCTAATCTGAGCGGCCAGGACGGAATGTGCTCAACGTCAAACACGTTTACAACTGCAGCTCCATGTCTGCTCCCACTCAGGCTGCTGCACACTCACACACCGAACTCACTTTTAGAACAGACACTCCGTCAGCACGAGGCCAGCTTTACATCTGAACTAGTTTGAAATGGTTTTCGATCTGTGTTTCCGTGCTTTGGTTGTTGCCTCAAAATTGTGATGAACTTTATTCTGACTTTAAAAAGAACAGGGCTTGAAAAGAAATCAAAGTTGTTTTTGGGGGGGGGCGGTGGTGGTAATGATTTTATGTGAAAAATATTGATCATATGTAATAACCCAAACATTAACTCCCGATAACAAGAAGGAAGGCGGCGCTCCAGGAGTCAGTTCACCTCCCTTTACTTTCTCTGTGCGATGGCGCCACCTTCTGATAAAAAGGAGTCAGGACACTTAGGCTCAAAAGCTTGTTGTGGTTTTAAACTGAGGGCACGTGGCTCGTGTTAAACCAATTGTGATTCATCCATTTTTTATTTGTCTTTTGGGCTTTAAGATGATTGCCTCAGTTTACCATTAACTTTATCCCCAAAGTTATTGTGTATATAGTATTACACACACAGTTTTGTTCATATTGGTTTCAATATACTGAACTTTTTTGCATATTACAGTGTGTATATGTTTCAGTTGTGCCATTATTTAGCAGTGGGTCACAGATGATTCACACTTATTTACTTTTTCTCCTGGTTCAGATTGCGACAGCATGGCCACAGATGGCTGTATTCAATTCACACGCCACGCAGGTGACGTGCTGCTCAACTTCAACCGTCTCCGCAGCAGGAACATTCTGACCGATGTCACCATACAGGTGGATGGGCAGCACTTTCATGCTCACAAGGCCATCTTGGTGGCCTGCAGGTACGCACCATCATAAAATCTGACACATGAGCAGCAATATGAATATGCATGGCTATTTTTTAACCTGTCAAAGAACTAGAATTGTGGTATGTTTCATAAGATTGAGATAGAACTGATCCATTCTCGTGCAATCTAAAGTTTACAAATGTTTTAACATGTTGTCAATCCCTCTTTCTCTCTTACAGTGGCTTCTTTTATTCCGTGTTCATGAACCCAGCTAATGCAGACCTTAGTGCCATCAGCTTAGACCCCAAAGTGGACCCCAAGGGTTTCTCCATCCTGCTGGATTTCATGTACTCATCATGTCTGAACCTCAAAGACAGTCTGGTCCTGGCCACCATGAACACAGCCATCTATCTCCAGATGGAACACGTGGTTGATACCTGCCATAGGTTCATCAACTCCAGGTAAATAAAGCAGATAATGTGATAAGACATATTTTCTTGACTTGCTAAAAATTTAAGGAACCTGACTTGGAGTTAAATTTGTTTCTGCAGGCATCACTCTCTGAATATGCAGCCTGGAGTGGTACAGACCAACTCATTACATCTGGCTGAGGAGATCCCTGCTTCGAGGCCTGTCGATGACAAAGAGCCAGACTTTAGAAACAACCACACTTCAACCTCCTCCCCTTTCCAGGAGTGCCGGGGCACCATTCCCAATGTTTTCAGGGGAATCAACACGTCTGGCTCCTATCATGTCTATGGTGACATCCATAGTCATGATGGGAAAATTGAAGACCCCCATAAGATTACTACCCTTCCCAGAGGTAGCTCTTTGTCCCAAACCCAATGCTTGCAGTTACCCAATACCAGCATGGCTCACAGTGAATCCACCACCATGCTCTCTCACCCGGTGCCATCACACCCCAGTTGCCCCACAAATATCATCCAACCAGCAGGAGACCACGTGAGCAATCATGCTGCTCCAATGGAGGAAGAAAACATTCAGCACCCACAAACCAGTTGCCTGAGGTTGTGTCCGGGCTTTAGCAAAGGTGTGATTTGTAGCCCCCAGAGCCCACTCAGATCTGACTGTCAGCCAAACTCACCTACCGAGTCCAGCAGCAGCAGAAATGCAAGCCTGAGCCTCAAACAGCCCTCTGACTACTCAACAGACACCAAGGCCCGCAACTGGAAGAAGTACAAGTTCATCGTCATGAACCAAACTCCTGAAGAGAATGACAAAGAGTCTCAGGGAGGCAACGCCGAAGCTACATCCCTGTCCCCAATGCTGAGCCCCTGCAGGAGTGTTGGAACAGGTGGAGACAGTGAGGTCCAGTCAGACGAGGGAGCCAGCGAGCACAGAGAAGACAACCCCAAGAGTGGTGACAGCTGCGGCAGCAGCACATGCAGCAGCATCAGGTAAAACTACACATCACTGTCAAAACAATAAATTAAACATACTATATATTTGTTTAATATAATAACTTCATTTTACATGGACTTAATGGTTTTACTTCTGTGTGCAGCCACCGCAGATGTTCCTCCTGTGGCTGTGACAGCCCTCAGCGCATGGAGATGGGTCACCTGTCTCCAGACTCATACAGCAGAGATGAAAGTACCAAACTACACTCAGAGTTTTCCTCCTCCAGCTGTGGTACGTGCCATACTATTGTGTCAGTACAGAATATGTTGGGTCAAAATGGCTGAAACCACTTTCCCAAATTAGAAAGACTGCGCAGCATTGCTTAGGTGACTATTTCTTTCCACAGAAAACAACACCTACTTCTGCAATGGTTGTGACTTCAAGTTCACAGATGAAGATTCCCTCAAAGATCACATGGTCCAGGTCCACAGTGATAAGCCATACAAGTGTGACTGCTGCCAGGCCGCGTTCCGTTACAAGGGCAACCTGGCCAGCCACAAAACAGTTCATACTGGTAAGTAATTTACGGTTAATAATGAAATTAATGAGTTACTGTTGGCTTTTTAAAGGTACAATCAAGTGGACGTTAGGGATGTGACTGTGTTAATAATAGCACAACCCTCTGATCTCAACTTCCAGGTTCGAAGCCGTACCATTGCAACATCTGTGGTGCTCAGTTCAACCGACCAGCCAACCTCAAAACTCACACCCGCATCCACTCTGGAGAAAAGCCATACAAGTGTGAGACGTGTGGATCCCGATTTGTTCAAGTGAGAAAAAAAACAGTCACATCTATAATGAAGCTTTGCATGATGTCAACCTCCAGTCTGTATATATTTAATGTGTTTTCCATTTTCCTCCAGGTGGCCCATCTTCGCGCTCATGTGTTAATTCACACCGGAGAGAAGCCCTACCCTTGCGAGATCTGTGGAACACACTTCCGCCACCTTCAGACGCTTAAGAGCCACATGCGCATTCACACCGGAGAAAAGCCTTATCATGTAAGCTGCTTTGTCATTTCCGTCTCCTAAGCCACTGTGTCAGCGATTAACTAAAACTGTGTGTAGGGGGATTAAAATGTCCACGTGCAAAGTGGTTGAAATCAATTATTTTTGTTTTCCTTTTAGTGTGAAAAATGTGACCTCCACTTCAGACACAAGAGTCAGCTGAGGCTTCATCTCCGACAGAAACACGGCGCAGTCACCAACACCAAGGCTCAGTATCGCAGGAGTCCCAGCAACATCGCCACAGGCCTGGTGACTTCCTGCTGAATCTGCTGCAGTCCTCCTATGTGTCATTTCTTTCCCCCCATTTTACACAGGCCACCATGTTGTCAAAAGAGTTTTTATTTTTTCTAAACATAAACACACGTATGCATTTGTAAATGATGCATATTATTTTGTGCAAGCTCTTCAGTATTTGGTAGCTCTTAGTTTAAGATTGTACATGCTTCAATTGTGAATGTGAATCTGAGCAGGTATTTCTCTATTTTACAAATTACATAACTGAATGTCAGCATTGAAGGACAGTCCTCTTTGTCATTCAGATTGAGAATCACTATTACAGTTCTACTTTCGATATTGGTATGAATTTCCCCAATAATGTGGTCAGAGTTCATGCCGTTACTTAGTCTATTTTTGTAAATAAGATAATATATATTTCCACATTGCCATCTGCTGGCAGAGTACGAATATATTGACGTTAAAGTGTGTTTGTGTCACACCCAGTTTGCGGTACATGTTGTACATGCACAGATTGACGTTCATTAGAAAATTTGCTATGTACATATTTTTTTCTAATTATTTCTAGGCTTTTGTTCATATTTTGCACATACTCATAATGCTGTGATTCATATATTTTCATACTTTTCAAATATTTCTACTTAAAATGTTGACCTGTTGAAAATGTTTGTTAAAACCCCAATGTCCAGCACCTTGCTAAATTCTTATTTATAGTCTATTTTCCCTTTTTTTTGGTGCTGCAATGATCCAATGTTGCCACGGGATCATTAAAGTTAGGTTGTATTTAATCTAGACCTACAGGTATGTTTGTGCACTTATACGTATCAGTGTATGAATAGTGCCTTACATTCACACTTTTCTATTGTCAGACTAGCTATTCATGCATTTTCAATTTGGTAATACAAAAGATATAAGCTGCTTTTGTGATGTTGCATTTGGTACTTTGCCCTGGCATTTGTATACGTCAGGTACTAATGCTATGAAATCTGACAATCTGTTGTGTATCGTTCATACGGTGCAGATACACTCAAGCTAAATCGCTCAGGAATATTAGTAATATGTTTGTCTTTGCAACTGCAATTTACATACATGTGTATGTGTGTATATATGTGTGTGTGTGTGTGTGAGAGAGAGAGAAAGAGTGTGTGGGTCGGAAGAGGATGGATAGAAAAGCACTCAGTAAAAAGATCTTTCAGAAACACTTTACCTCGGTGACGTTGACGCGAGCTGTTGATTGACGGGCACTTCTCGACAGAAACCAGAGCTATCAACCTATCTGCCA